CTTACCTCCTTGGCATTGTGTTAACACACACCTGAATGCTCCAGATCAGCAAACTGCCAAAACATCTGTTTTTATGGAGGTGCTCACACTTGCTGATGATCAGTTAAACATAGGCATTTGATTAGCAGAGCCTGACGGCTACTTACCCTCTTAATTCCTATGTTAACAGGAAGGGTGTCCTAACATTGTCACACATGGCTTTTCCATTTTGGCTTTATTTTTGTAAAATATATAATGACATGGTGCAATATGTAATGTGTTGTTGTTCATCACCCTGCACCATATCACCCTGTTTTATTTTCCAAATTTTAAGACCTGCCAAGGACCAGATCATTTTTTTTTATGTCCTGATATGGAAAACCATGGAATTCAATAGGGTGTCCTAACTTTTTCACATGACTGTGTGTGTGTATATAATATATATACTGTATATATATATATATATACACATTATTTTTTTTTTACAATACAATTTAAAATTGTAATAAATAATTTTAAAGTATAATTTATTCCTGTGATGATTCCAAAGCTGAATTTTCAGCATCAGTCTTCTTTTCAGTGTCACATAATGCTTCAGAAATCATTCTAATATGCTGATTTGTTGCTCAAAACACATTTCTTATTTTTTATCAGTTGAAAACAATTATGTTGCTTAATGTTTGTGAAAACCATTATGCATTTTTCCAGATTCTTTGATAAACTGATAGTCACAAAATGTAGTTTTTAAACTTTTTATGTCTCTACTGTCACAAAAATGTTATGCAATTTTTTACTTACTGAATAAAAGTATATTAATTTATTAAAAAAAATCCTACTGACCCCCAAATCAATAAAGATAAGGAAATAAATATAAATGTTAATGTTTTCTTAAAAATAAAATATATCTATATTTAAATTTTACTAAGAATAAATGACAAATAAGTTAAAAATAATGAAATAAAAAAACAAGCAAACAAACTTGGCCAGCAGGGGCCAATATATAATACAATTATTCAGTTTTAGGTAGATGTCTTGGTCAGAATTGAGAGTTGGAGAGTTTTTTTTTTTTGTCTATTCAAGATGCATTTTGAAATGTTGTGTTTTCATCCTGTACAGAACATTTTAAATCCAATGGGAAGTTTACAGGAAGCTTGAGAGTCTTGAACAAAAGCATAATTCACTTGATTCTGAATGGCAGATCTGTGCAGACTCTATCACAGTCAATGCACTGATAAAACACAACACAAACACTACGAACAGAAGAAGAACATGAGAACAGATGCTTTTGTTTTGATTGCATGTTTCTTTGGGGGATTCAAGCCTTCCGCAGCATTATATTCCACGATTAAATGCTGGAGAGTGGTATTTTTACTCTTTTTCATAGCTATAAAATTCCTTGCAATTGTATGCAAATAGAGTGCTCCGAATTGAGTCATGTTGTGTTGAAAACATCACGGTTGCAGAACAATTGCAACAGCGAGTCTGTTGAAAAGACTAAATTATACCCCCTGATGTTTTATTCATTTCAAAGCTGGCCAAAGAGCTTATGCTCTGCAGCCTGGAAATGTCCTCTCCCTCAGCAAAACAACATTTGGAGCTGGTGTCAGAGGCCTCACTTACCCAGAATAAAAAGCTAAAGAAGAACAGGAAGTACCGAATCCAAGGGTTGACGAAAGAGAACATTTCCGTCCTGGTAAGGCTCACCTGCCTATCCATTATAACAGATTTGTAGAGGCTGAAGATTAAAAAAATTCAGCAATTGCAGAGCAGGCCAGGCCAAACAGATAAACCATCCACCATATACGTTTCGGTCTGTAGCTATAGCTTGAAATGGACTGCAACAGCTGCTGTTCATGTGGACTGACGTACATTAGTGTCTGTGGAAATGGCCAGAGCACACGTTACACAAAAGCCACCTTTGGATGCTTTTGAAAGCTCCGATCCATTGTTTTCTATCACCAGTAGCACCAGGGCAAGAATTTGCAGCTAGGCAAAACAGACAAGGCTTTTCGATGTTCTAGTTTCGACAATATTCTCCTCTATCACAATATGAGAAGATATAATGGCGGGTGATAATAGACAGAAGAAAAAGAGACCCTGAGACTTCAGTGAATCAGACTGTTACCTGCCTGCTTTTCAGTTGAAAGTGATGATTTTATTAGTAAGGCTGCTGCGGGACTCTTAAAGATCAAGGACTGTGAAACCAGGGCAAGCAGTGCAAGCACTCATCTACTAGTCTCAGCCTCAGACGTCACGCCCACGGATCATTGGCTGAACGTCTGATGCATACGGCACACAAAAGTGGAAACACTTCAGGAGTTTCGAAGTCGTCATCGGATTGGTTGAATTATACAGGATTTCCGGGAGACGTGTGTGTCGCGTTCTTTAACGTTCCGCCTGGAAACAAAGATGCCGTGGCGCCAAACCCCCTCACGAAAGAAGAAAGCCGTCGTGTTTACAACTGTGACGACGAGCGCTTTTCAGCCGTCAGTCTGAAGGTCTGGCTACGCGAGACTACTCCTCTACTGCTGGAAAGCCATTCTAAATATAAATGGCACATCGTGAAACTGCAGTTTCAGGAGTGGTTTGGGCTCTGCTGGTTTGTATGACTGGCTTTTCCCACTGGGAGCTCTGCTGTTTTATTTGGACTGCATCTGTAAAGCTCATTGAATCCTTTAATCACGAGAGCCGAAGGACAATCAATCGGGTTGTTGAGAATCTTTCTCACAGGTTTATTGCTACAGGCCCTGAAAGGATTTTCTTTGAAAGTTTGGAGACAGACCAGTGTACTTCATGAGATCCAAGACATTGATGTGTTTGTTTCCGCCCTCATCCACAAATACACTGGGTGTATCCACTCTATGCGATATAGATCCGGTATAGTCTATCATAATACTCATATTACCACATTCAGATGCTACTCAGTAGCTTTCAAAATATACTGTAGCTATAAGAGTATTGATCTGACAAAGAACAGTATTGCTCTGCAATGTCTAATGACTTCACTTAATGGGACTGATATACAAAGCTTTCTATATTAAAGCAGTGCTTTGCATAGTTGGTTTTAGAAAAGCACATATTATTTAGATTTTCAGTGAAAGCTAATTATTTGTATTATGACTAATAACAGTATATATGATGACTTTTTTTTTTGCTATTTATGATATATTTGTGATCAGTCTTATACCATCTTGACAACATGAAACTGAAATTTGTCAATATGTTAACTGGTTCCTGTATTATGTTGCAAGTCAATTTGAAATGGCCCACACTTTCACGGTTAACAGCAGCTGCACAAAAGTGACTGAAGCCTTGAAATGCATTTTTTCCCCTGGAAAATCAATGTAATTCAATTTTTGTTCAATCATATTTTTTATTATTATTTAGAATTTTGAGGGGATTTTTTACTATGATGTAGTATTTACTAGCTATTTTTTTCCACTGTTTTTTTTTGGGGGGCTCTTTAACATCAAAATCATGTCCATGATTTGTGTGTGTGTGTGTGTGTGTGTGTGTGTGTGTGTGTGTTCACATACTGTGAGAAGAGTCACCAAGTGTCATCCCATTCCAATAATGCAAAAAAAATAAATCAACTATTATATACACCTGCAATATAATAAAGGAACCAGTAAAACCACTGACAAATTTCATTTGTAACATAAAAATCAAACCCAGAATTCGAACATAAAATTATGTAGTGTGATCTTAATTTAAATAAGATGAAATGGAAATGCTGTCACCATTGAAAAATGGCCCATATTCTGATAAAAATTTCAATCCTCTAAAAGAGTACATATGTGAGTGACCCTGGACCACAAAACCAGTCATAAGGGTCAATTTTTCGAAATTGAGATTTATACATTGTCTGAACGCTGAGTAAATAAGCTTTCCATTGATGTATGGTTTGTTAGAATAGGACAATATTTGGTCTGAAATCTGAAATCTGAGGGTGCAAAAAAATCAAAATACTGAGAAAATCGCCTTTAAAGTTGTCCAAATGAAGTTCTTAGCAATGCATATTACTCCAGCGACTTAAGACTGGTTTTGTGGTCCAGGGTCACATATAAAGGGTGTATAAAAATGAAAAAAAAAAGCAATAAATAACATTCTCACGGGGGTTTGGCAACACACTTTCCTTTATTTAAAAAATAGTAGAATTTAAAGAATGCAATTTAGTGCACCACCTAATATATTTATAGTGCTTTACATGTAGCAAAATACTCCACAGGACAAATCTGGGTTCACAAGATATCTGATAACTGCCACTCACCGGGACACTACATTAAACACGCCACTCGAGAGCATACGTTTCTACAGCTTGTATATGCAGCTTACTGGTGGTGGTTAGGATGGCAGTACAAAAATACAGATATGACAGCGATTATAGAACTCAATTACTTTTTAGATCCCTTTTTTACCCCAAGCATACCAAATTAATCGATCATTTTATGGCAGTGTCTGTTAATGGGAGAACAAATTCAATTAGTTGTGCTGTGGTCATTTAGATCACCAATAAGAAAACTTTCTCGTCCCTGCAATGCTGTCCATTTAAAGGGGTCATATGATGCTTTTTTAAAGATCATTATTTTGTGTATTTGGTGTAACAGAATATGTTGACATGCTTTAATGTTCAAAAAACACATTATTTTTCAAATACTGTACATTATTGTAGGTCCTCTATGCCCCGCCTCTCTCAAACGCTTCGTCATTATGCAAATATTCCCACATAGTGACCTAGATATGTGGGGGCGTGTTAGAACGAGCCGTTTTAGGGGGCGTGGCAGAGTCTTAACTTTGATAAAGAATATCTCTTTGGTTTTGAGACTTTAGTCTTTGCAACTTGAAATCGCATCATATGACCCCTTTAAAATATCAGAATTCAGTACCAACAAATGCCAACATTTCATTCAGATCTACAACTTAATTATTGAATTAATAAGTACAAAAACAAAATAAAAATGAAACATTAAAACACAATAAATGGGTACAAAATTTGTTTCAATGACTGTTGAAAAAAATTCCCAAAATATACAATCAGATGGCATGGGTGTGCAAGCTGGAGACAATGTTTCTGGGCCATCTTCAATATGATAGAAATATAGGGACCATACCTTTCTGAAAAATTCATTAGTATTTGGCCAATTAATAATGAACTTTTACTTTACAATTGCTACAAACTATAATGTGATTATTAATTTGCATGTGCTTCATGATAGTATCCACAGATGAAAATCCAACATAAATTAATTCTAATCTGAGATTAGGAAATGAAAGAAAAAATGTTTTATAATGCAAAATCTTATCTATGCTTAGCACACCCTTAAAATCAATACGTGACAAAATATATGATACAAAACAAATTACAACATACAATGAACATTGTACAAAAAATAACAACTAAAAAATGACATTACAACACTTGTGTTGGAGTATCAAGCACTGAGATTCTCTTGCACCTTTAGATACTTGACAGACATATTTAGACAGTTAGCAAAAAGCAATATCTTCGTTGCATATTAAACAGATATGCCTCAGATGTCATACACATTTGCAACGGTTTATGAGATGATTCGTAGTGAAATGTTTACGTGCATTAAGCCTGAAACAAATGCATTGCAAAACATAAAAAAAGAATAGCAGTAAAAATTAAAATTGCTAATGCCAAACTCTTGTTGGTTGTTCAACATGATACCGTGTCATTCAACACTAACAACTCAACATCTGACTATTTCAGATTTAAATACACAATGTAGCCTATAACAGTGGAAAAATATAAAGGAAAAATGGGTATTGTATATACTTAAAAAAAAAAAAAAAAGAAGAATAACAGTGAGACATGGGTTTAAGGACATCTTTCAAAAATTTAAAACATTGGAACAAGGACCAAAAAAAACTTTCCAAACTCTTAAACAATTCCTAACCTTGGAAAGCTTACACATGGGATTAGTTCACAGGATGCAATTTTGCGGCCAAAGTTTGTAAATCAGTCAGATAAGAGGGTCGGGACACATCATTGAAGTGTAGTGCGGCGGGGTTAAAGACACTGAGCAGATGGAGCGCATCAGTGCAAACCTAATCAGAGCTAGTATTGACTAACTCCATGGTGTTCTTGAAGCAAAAATGGGTTTGAAGCCAGACCACCAGGCGTAACACAGAAAAACATTTTCATTTATGATGGTAATAATGCAAGAAAATTTTCTAATATGCAAAATTGTTTCTGTTTGCTAGCGATGGTGAACATGCGGAATTGATTGAAAAATGCTGTAGATTCCAGTCCTCCTGATACAAATGCCTCATAACACAAATCCCTTAAAGCCAATGTGAAACACCCTTGACAACCCATTTTACATCTATAATGTGACACATTTATGAGTAAAACAATATGTTCATTGATTAAATCAAATGTAGGTTTGGACAGAATGTACACCAACAGTAATGCACCTTTTTCAAATCTATTATTATTTGTAACATTTAGAAGTTAACCAACATTAAATGAACGCTTTTTCTATTGGTAAAATGTAAGAATGGCAGCATAACCTAATATAGTAACCTAAACTGGGGTTATTTTATATATATATAAAAAAAAAAGTAAATGGGGTCAATTTTGGCTTCATGTTGACTTTAAATGCTTGCAGGCAGAGTGTGAGTGAATTGAGTCTGCAGTTTCTCAGTCTTTTACTTTTTCCACTATCGTAATAACCACAGGTGGCTCTTATAGCAGCACTGTTCACTCAGTGACAGAGTTCCTACACTCACCCAGAGCAGAAGCTCTCATTCCCCTCCATTTCAACACAGAATGAACGTTAGAAGTAGCTGTCGCTTCTGGTCCCAACTGTTTCTTAATATAAAGCAATTTTTCTAAAATAGTGTTTGAGTGTCAGTGAGTGTTTGATGGGATGAGAGGTGGTGTTATTTCTCTCTCCATCTCAAGTGCTCTATTACGTCCCTCTCGGTCACACATTAACAACGCGCACACGCCGAGCTCTTAAGGGACGGCACATAGTCTCAGTGACAGTCTGGATAGGAGACCATCAGATGACCCCACTCTGGTTGTCTCTCAGCCATCATCACGCCTCATCTATTGCTCAGTGATTTTAAACCCCTACAAACTGTCTGCTGGTGAACACACTCTCACTTCAAAACTTCCTCGTCAAGATGCATTTGCTTTGAAGCAAGTCCCTTCAGGGTGTGATACAGAAGCGTTATCACCCCATACAGCAGGAATGTAACCGTTCCAGCCTGATGCTTGAAACTAAAAGACAGATGGAGACAGAAAAGAGCCGAGAGAGACAGAAAAACAGCACAGGCTATAAAGCTGAGGTGTGCTAGGGATACTTTAAAGAAATAGTTGAAGGCAATTTCTGTCCCCTCATGTCACTCTGTTCCCTGTGATTTTCTTCCGAAGGACACAAAAGGACAGCAGACCACCAATTTAAGTCATTATCTGGCCCACATGTAATATGTGCCCACAGAACTTGTCAGAAAGGTCAGAACATTTTTGCAAAATTAGAACGCCCATTAATCATAAAGTTCTATAAAATTACCACGTTTAAACCGTCTTGCAGCTCAGCACATTTACATATTAAAAGTAAGACACTCAACAAGTATGTAACATACACCGAGTTTGAATATGCATATGCACAAATGAGAGTCATTTCCTCAGCAAGTATGTTTTGAAGTGAAGAAAACTTGAAAAACTGTAGAGCACCAGTCTAAGTCATATGCCATATTATTGCAGTATTTTCCCCCTCCTTTTTAGAGTTTGTAAGCATCAAGTCTGCTTTTGTTGTATAGCATAGAGCCACATTCTTCAAACGATTTTCTTTTGTGTCAATGGAAGAAAGCAAGTCCTACAGATTCGACATGAAGGTGAGTAAATAAATTTTACTCTTCAAGTCTTCCGAAAACATAAACTTTACTATCCCAGAAGAAATGTGCAAACATGAACTAGGTGGAATCTGTATCTTTAGGCTCTTTCTCAACTTTTTTTTTTTTGGGTACAGACTTGGATTCAATGAGCAAAACATGGGGAAATGGTCAAACTCACAAAGCTCTGCCTTTTATACACGTCTAGTTTACCAACTTTTGTAACCTTACACTTTTTCTTCTATAAAAACTTTGCTTCATTGTCTATGCCATAGAGTTTCAGTAGAAGTCTGGTTAAAATGACCTTTTAGTGGTTAACAAAGAGGATGTTTTTGCATGAACGTGGATGGCTGGCTAATCAGACAGTCCCTGTTTGATGTATTATACTGACATTAGATTGTGATGGTTCTCATCAGAGTGAAACTCTCGACACGTTTCGATGCGTCCTCAAATCACAAACCTTTAAACATAAGAAAAGGCTTATTTCCAACACACACAGACAAACTCAAATTCCTGGTGATGCCTCGCTAAATTTTTTGTACCGGTTTCTTCCAATCCTTAGGTGCACAAAAATGACAATTATGGGGTTGGGGCAAAGTCACTTATAAAAACAAACAAAAAAAAGTCTTGAGCCGAAATGACAAGTTTTCTGTCTCGTACAAAACCACATCATGCTAAAATGGAGCTGTTTGTCATTTACACTGTAGATGGAGGTGATGATGAGCGATGCTTTTCAAATTCATCCACCCTGAAGGTTTCCAGTCTGATGTCTTCTCGCCTCATCTATATGTTGGGTGGAAGGATTTACGTATTAGTAAAGCCACACAGTTTTTTGTCATTATTCTCCTTCCTGCAAATGTTAGTTAGTTCAAGCGTAAAATAAAGGTTCTAGAGGAGATGAAGAAAGTCAAGAGGCCTCATGGGGAGGATTCTGGCCAAGAGTCGGTCCTCTCGTTCCTCTCTGTCCCTGGGTCTCTTTGGCAGATGAGCAGATGGGGGAGAAAGAGTGGAAAAGAGACAGACCATGGCTGAAGTCTACCACAGGATGGTAAGGTATAAGCTGGGGAATTAATGGGAAGAGGGATTGGCCAGTGGTGAAAGTTAGATACAAGAGGAGGAGCTGTCCTCCAGAGTCTGTCCCATAATGCACCACTGCTCCTCCCTTGAGAAACGGCCTTGTTAAGCATCATACTTCTTCCCGCTTCTGTGAATCTGATGGAACAGTGTCATGGAAAAGGCCATTCCCAGGAGCTGGAATGACAAAATCCAAATGTAAAGGTTAGTGTGCAACACATGAACTATATGTCAGCAAACACAGATGGCCTGGGTTAATCGAGAAAAAAACATTGGAAATATTCCTAATTAAACACTAGGAAATTCAAGGGGTCACTGGTTGGTTGGTTGGCATATGCAGTTATCCCCTGCTGGTAGATGATGGGACTAGACCATAATAGGGCCTTTCGCACCGCAGGAACCTTTTCATAGTACCAGAACTAATTGTGGAACTACCCACTTTTTGGCGTTTTCGCACCGCCGGAACTGGGAGCGATTTTAGTACCGGACTGCCTTTTTCGAGAAACAAATTAGCTCCTACTCCGGAGCAGGGTCTAACCAGCACAACTGGTACTAATCGTGACGTAAGTAGAGAACTAAAGCGGTGCGAAAGGCCCTATTGTGACCAGCTGGCAAAAAGCGGCTTTCTTGATTGATGGGAAAGCAAATATTTAGTGTATTTATTATTTAATGCATTAGATATTGTATTGATGTAACAATAAACAATATTTGCATTGATGTAAAACAATATTTCTAACAGCATTTATTAATTAAGAGTTAATTTCATTTTTTATAAATATGGAAGTCTCCGTTAATTCATGTTTGTTCATAATATATTAGCATTAATTTATACTACTTGAAGTTAATAAATGCTGTAAAACATTGTTCTTTATGATACCTAATGCATTAACTAATGGTAACAAATTTAACCTTAATGCAAACTGTTTTTTAAAGCAATGCATAAATCGCAGTTATTTTCTTTTTTAAAACATTTTATTAAAACATGTTTTTCCCTTTGCATTTTTTAAATATTTGTCCTTTTTTATTTCATTATATTATAATACATTTGGTAGCCATTGGCCAGTTTATTTGAAGGGTTGTATTTTTTTATTTTTCTGTGGTTTTTGTTCAGTAAGTAAAGGTGGCAGCAAACAGGCCACACTTCCAGGGCTGCATGCATCAGCCAAGCAGCTGCCAGTGGATAGCTTTCTCCAGGTATTACAGACCCACTTTGGAAAATTGACCTCATTTTTTAGAAAAACAGGTTTGGTGATGTGGAGCATAGTGTCACGGAGGTAAACGGAAATGTGTTGCAAATATACTGACTCTTTGAAGTTAATTTTTAGATCCATCCTGATCCATCAAACGCACAGCGGTGGTCGACATTCCACAGTCATTATCTTAATGCTGCAGAACCTGCAGTTTTTATCACATGAGCAGGAAGCACTATCAGACTCTGTGTGTGGATTAAATCAGATTCTCTCACATCTTTGAGCTTTAAAGGTATCGCATTGCTGCTTCTTTACACTGTCAATTCCCACAGAAACTGAACTGTAAATCTAGGCAGACTCTCACACAGACTTCAGTGTGAGTCCACAGGTGAAGTCTAGGCCCCTAGCAATGTCTGACAACTAGAGATGCGCTGTGGTCGAAACCCGTAGGGAAAAGATTCCTTCAGAATCCATGCGTTCTTAAGAGAAAGAATTACAGTACACTAACAAAGTACCATAGTCTTTATAAAGCTTCCTGGACACTGTAACATGGTTCTACCATGGTATACTTTTAGACCATGTGCGCTACTATTCAAGATTAAAAAAAAAAGTTTTTAAAAGAAGTCTCTTATAATAACCAATGCAGCATTTATTTGATCAAATTACAATAAAAACAATACTGTGACATATTACCATCTACAGTAACTGTTTTCTATTTTATATATATTTAAAATGCCATTTATTCCTCTGATGGCAAAGCTGAACTTTGATTAGCTGTTACTCCAGTTTTCAGTGTCAAATGATCCCTCAGAAATCATTCAAAATATACTGATTTGGTGCTCAAGAAACATTTCTTATTACTACCAATGTTAAAAAGAGTTGTGCTGTTTAAGATTATTGTAGAAACCTTGATACATTTTTTCCCAGGATTTTTTTATGAATAGAAAGTTCAAATTAACAGCATTTGTAATGACTTTACTATTATGTTTTGATTCATTTCATTAATAAAAAAAAAAAAAAAAACTTTTGAATCTTATTTTCATTCATGGAACATGAATGCTAATCTAAAATTACAATGGAATATATCAAAGTACCATTGTACTTTGAGGTTTGTTCAAATCCCTAAGTATTGCATTAGCAAGCCTCACTGATAATTTAAAATTACAAAACACTTACAGAGCACACAGTTTAGCAACTAAAGACCAGATTATGGCTGGCTTTTACGGGATGAGATCTAAGTAAATCACTTGTGATTTTGCCCCAGCTCAGCCCATGAGGAGGATTATGTGGCAAGTGTTTGCTTACAAGCCTGTGGTCACCTCATACTGAGAAAAGTACTTAGTAAAGACCCCTGTGCACTATTATCCTCAATAAACTGTAATTACCGAACACAGGCTTACAATAACTCATGGATTAATTGAGAGACCATTTTGCCTAATCCAACATGGGCTTCTTTCACTATTTACCACATTTTGTATTTCTGGCTTGTGATAAATGACTGATATGGACTTGGACTACCTGTGAAACTGTTAAAAGATACTCTCAATTCAGTTTGCTAACTTTAAAAGTGACAAAGTGGCAAACATGGCAAAATATATATATATATAGTCAAACTACTGTTGATGCATGGACCATATTTAACATGTCTCTGCCTAGTTTCTAGGAAAAAAATCTGTCTGACGTTAATGCAAAGCGCCTACGCAGAATGTACACACTAGACCAGGCTGCGCTGATAATCAAATACATTGAATTCATGGGCTTTCTAGGGCTATAACGAACTGCTGCAAAACATCATGTGGGGCCGACAGGTTCACTTTCTATATATTCGAGTATCAGCAAGCCCTAATGAGCGGTTCACCTTTTCTCTCCTGGGCTGACTGTGGCGCTCCACACATGTGCTTCACTGTTTCAGCAGAGACAGGCGCGCTCATTATCACCATTGCATTTGACACGCTGAGTGATGGCAAAACACACCAGCGCGCACAATCTTACCTGAACTACCAAGATACACATGCCGATGGTTCCGAGTAGGTGCTTATTATCTTCAAGCCACTCTTCAACCTTCTCATAGCAGCCCTGGAAGACAGGAAGAGCCACGAGATGTGATTTATCATCTGGGCGAAAGCACTAACACAAACAGATTGAGCACATTTCACTTTCTAATTTGCTAGTTGTTAATTCTGATCCAGGGAAAATGAGCTGAAGTCCAGCAGTGGTGGAATTGGTTTTGAGCACATGCTTGAGCGACTGCTGCGGCTGCATTTTCAACGCGCAGTGACTGAAAAAAAGCACATTCAGCGATATACTGTATGTGGCTATGCGGAAAAAAAGACAAACCAGCTTTGAGTTGGCGGTGTTGTGGGCTGCTTTTCACACTAAGGCATTGAAAAGGAAATCCATTTCCAGCAAAAAAACTGTGGCGGTAATACAATATAATACCTACCAATATGGCAAAACTCTTCTGTGCACATAGCCTCTATGTAAAAATTTTTGACTATTTCCTCTTGTTCTGAAAATTTAAAGCAATTTAAGACCTTTTGTTGGTTAGCTGCTTAACTTCTGGGGGAGAAGACAAATTCAACAATTAAACGGCTTACGGTTTAAGACTAACTTGACTACCAATGTGTCCTTGTGTAATTTCCTTCCCTAGAAGAAAACACAAAGGTTTCTGCATTGGAAATCGTGAATTTTACTCAAAATGTTCTCTCGTGGCAGCTTCGCAAACTTCAAGTATGGCTTGTTCTGCTTTAATGAAAGGAGCTTTTGAAAAGAACATTGAGAATTTACTAAATGGAAATGTCTCATCTGCAAACACTCCATTAGTACCTCTGTGGTAACTAAAAGCTTCAGATAAAGACAGTCTGACATGTAACATCATTTGCAGCTCTGTCAATTGCACAAAAAATACTCCCTCAAGAGACCATTGCCCTCGCTACAATCTCATTTAAACATTCAGTACATTAAAATGAGTTTTCATAAGTTAAATCAGCTCCCATAAGGGAAGACGAATGCATCCGGTGTCCAAAGGTGAGCAGGAATTCATAAAGATACATGACTCTGGCACTTTACAGATGCACTTAGAGCTCCAACCAACAGAGATGTCTTAAATCTATGGCTTTTACTGCCTTTCATTTATTAACAATAACTCTTTTCAAGGACAGAAAAGAGAAATCCTCTCAGTTATTACCTCCTGTCTTTTCTTTGATCCTGTCTAGAATCAGAAATGTTCTTTAATGAATTTAAGAGTGGCAATTCAAATGTATTTAAAATTGGGATGATTCAATTGAAAGTTGTGCATTTGAAATGCAGTATGTGTATAGTTCACTGCACACATCAAGGCAATTAAAGGTCTGGGGAATGATGGCAACATTATCATTGGTTTAAGTGCAGGTGTCCACTCACCCGTGTCCAGAACATGTTGGTGGAGTTGCGGCCACACTCCTGATAATGCTCTTGACAGCAGCGGTCAGGCACCACCTTTTCTTTCAGAGCCTCGTGCCAATCTGTGTAACCAGTTACGCCACAACACTTCCACTGTCACACTGGGGGACAATGATACATTTTTAATAATAACCAGATATTAGTGTGTGACAGCATTTTCATGATTCTCAACACAGTCATAATTTCACAAAGAGTACCTCAGCTTGGATGATATTCCAGGCATTTCTCAGCCCAATGTTGTTGTCTGTGTTGTAGAGAGCAAGACCGTCTTTCAGGTCCTGCTTTGCATTCTCACTGACCTGTGAACAGAAGGATAAGTTTATTAATATACAATATCAAACAATCTTGAGAATAACAAAATTTCAACCAGGCCACCAAAACTACATTTGATCATTTTGACAAATAGATTTGACCAAAAAAAAAAAAAAACGTTTCATAAATGTGTAAGTCAACCATAGGCAGAGCGTGTGTAAGGCTGGGGAAGGCTTAGCCTTCTACACAAATAAATTAAATCTATTACGTCTGTGGCTAACAAAGTGAATATGAATAGACAGTGTCGATTGCGGCATTAAATTAAGATCTGCTCATGTTGCACCGTATTTCATTTTAGGCGTTTTTACAGTGTTGCTCATTTTAACCAATCACACACAATTCACCGTAGTGCATTTTAGGCGTTTTTACAGTGCTGCTCATTTTAACCAATCACACACAATTCTGTTGAGCTTAGGAATGCAATGGCCAATCAGAGGTGTTCAGATGAGTCATCATTGAAACAGATCAGTTTTGTTGAGTGCGCGCGCATTCGCTGACTGAATTCTGGACTCTTGCGAATTCTCTCATTATAAACAAGATGTACCTACAATATAAGTAAGAGATTCATTTCACAGTGTATACAGCTTCAGTGATTATAATGATAGTTTTGTTTTTTTTGAGAGTGCTCAAACTCGCGATAGATCAGTGTTAGTGATGATGTCACTTTCTGTATATAATTTATTCGCTGTTTGAATAACTGTGGAAAGGAAACGTTATATAATTATCAATTTCTAACGTTTTTATTAAATTGTAAGCACGTTAAATACAAATTCAGTCCCATTAAAAAAAAATTTTTAGCCTACATGACACCCATGTCTAGTTCTTGCCTAAAAAGACGAGTTTATGATGTTTAATACATTTGGCTGCTTTTAGCCTTACCCTGGAGTTGGTTCACCCTCCGCCTATGAAGTCAACAATAATTTCATAACTTATTGGTTATACAGAAATGTATATACACAGTTTCATATATATGACAGAATAACACACTCACACAAATTGAGATATTAAATTTCAATTAATTGTATAGTTTGAAAACTTAAAAAAGTTTTAATTCAATTAGTTTGGATAATATGTATAAATGTTATTATTGCAAATAGTGAAAAACAATACGCAAGTCCTAAGAGAAATTTACCCGCTTGTCTATCCTAATAAGCCATCTCTGTTTAGTCAATACCTGCCATCGGGTTCTCGACTACTACGTCTAATTAATATAATTAGCATCATTCATTGGAGAATGTGACTGTGAGTAGAGTGTTAAAAAGCATGCTATCGTTGACGCTGGAAGACAACATACTCATATACATGCTGGAATCACTATCATTTCCCCCTCGGCTGGGGTAGATAAATATTTCGCTGGCAGTTTTAATGAGGTGTACGATCTCACATTAGTGGTTCAGTGCACTCTGGCCCAGAGCGACGGAAGTGCAAGGTGATTAGAGTTTGACAGAGCGGCGGTCCTGATACAGACGCACACTACATTAACATCATTTCACCCTAGAGAAAAGACAAAACACCATATCCTGGAATTTCAGTGAATGATAGTCTCTCACACAGACCTATAAATAAGATATATAGAGATAATATCTGCACTTACAGCTTTAACATTATGATTTATTGTCACACTTCATATTGCTGTTGTATTTGTTGTATTATCACAACATTCACTGTTTTGCTCACATCAGAAAGACTCTGAACTTCTGAAGAAAATAAGACTGGTTCCTGTGCATGATGCTAGGATGTTGGGGATTTCTATCACATTCTAGATTCCTAAAAATTCCTATATATGGTTTGGGACCATGTCTATGAGATATTTTTTTGCCAATTTTTTCATCTTACAGGCAAAAATAATGAATTAAATCACTCACAGGGAACATACTGGTTAAAATTAATTAGATAAATAAAAAAGCTATAGATATATATATAGATATATATAGATACATTTTAAATGCACGTTTTGGATAAAAGTGTCTTCTAAATGCATAACTGAAAAAGTGCAGGGTGAGGTACAAGTATGAGTGATAGTAATGCTTGCCTTAGCAAACAGCACTAATAATATAACAAATTGAAACATTCATGCTGTGAAACTTCTTTGAATGCTGAGGGAAATTATTGAATGAACAGTATGAAATTTTAATTCAGATAATCTTTCAAATATATGTTGAAATTGGCCTAAAATGTCCTCTGGAGACCTCCATCATGTGAAATGTTTTTTACATTCTTTCCAGTCATGCCATGATGAAATAAATTCAGCCAATGATGCAGAACGGCAGCAATAATACTAAGTCAAGACAAGATATTAAAAAGCTGGTAGAAGGCATATGTCTCTCGCTGGAGTGTGCACTCATTAGTGCCAGATATTTTTGTACTGGTGGGTACGCTGTGTGAGTAGCCACGTTTCAGAATGGAGAGAATAAAACGAAAGGTGAATAAACACCATCATCCCTTCTTTACAGAAAAATCTCATTATACAAGAATACATCAAAGCACACTCTCAACTCCATCAGGGTACACGGTGACATCACTCCTTTCACGTCCTGCTTGGAACACATGATGATCAGAACTGTTTGGTAATGGCTGATCTTTCATACCTAAAGAAATGCGTCCCAATTACCCAGCACACGAGACTCCCATATCCCACACGGTCCAATTACAATTAAGCTCAGACTTACAATAAATTCTTAATCAGCTTGTGGCTGAAAAAGTCACGCAATTCTGTTCATCCTGTTCAAACAGCAAAATAGCATGTCTAATGGAGGGATGTTACATGTCCGACTAAGCCTCTCTAATGCCATGAGCTGAGTAGGATTCCTAGAAAACTGCATTTTATTTTTTAGGCAAGTATTAATTTTCTTGTCTAAAATGCTAATTGAATACTTCAAAGGTTTGTGCGCAGTAGAGAAATTTATGCTTTTGTTAAGCAACAATGCATTATATTAATAAAAAGTGACAGTAAAAAGACATTCAAATAGTTATAAAAAAATACACATTTCATATAAATACTGTTCTTTTGAAATGTCAATTCATTAAATAATTATGAAAAAAAATACTGTTTCCACAAAAATTTTAAGCGGCCTTTAAATGGTTTTCAACATTGATAAAAATGTTTCCAAAGCAGCAGATCAGCATAGTAGAATGATTTCTGAAGGATCATGTGACACCGAAGACTGCTGAAAATCTAGATATCTTCCACCACAGGAATAAATTACATTGTAAATATATTAAAATAGACAGATATTTTAAATTGTAATAATTTCACAATATTACCGTTTTTACCGTATTTTTAATCAAATAAATGCAGCACAAAAAAAAAAAAACACTTTTGAATGATATGAGGTTAAGCAATGAGAAAACATCTTACCAATAGCCTGTAACGCATGCCCACATTTAAAAAACAAAAAATCTAGTAATCACTAGGGCTGCCCCCTAATAGTCGACTAATCGTTAGTCGACCAGAAGAGGCTTGGTCGACCAAAATTTTATTAGTCGCTTAGTCGCATTTAAAAAAACAAAAAAAAAACATCAGTTGCGCTCACTGCAGGACAGATGGAGGCGCCAGTGCGCTCACTTGCTTTTAAAATAGGCTACTCCGTAATTTTTGGTCATACAGATTAGGGCTATGCGATTTGGGGGAAAATATCAAATTGCGATTTTTTTTTGACAGATATTGCGATGGCGATTTGATTTGCGATTTTAAATTTGCAAAGTCAAGCTTCAGCTCAATATTGTCAATAATGTGCGGCACAGTAACAGATAAGAGCAATACATCTTTCAAATCTGTAAAGACTATGTTTATTTGTGTGCACTCACAATAACAACAAAATGCGCTTTTGTAAAATAATGAAAGCAAACAGGATGCGCTTTCAGCCGTCTCGGTCTGTGAACTTGAGCGCGAAACTCTGTGTATATCTTTGCCTTACAGACATTACAAATATATAGAGAGAGAGTGAAATGTCTACTTTCAAATGAACCAATTCAAATGGAAAACAAATATTCTTAGATTATGTAATCCGTATGAAACATATACAGGCGCATCCACTACAGCGGCGACGAGTCAGTGTCTCCGACTTTATCTCTTAAACTGAGAACAAAGCAAACACTAGTTTACCAAATTATTAAAATGTTAATGCAGTCTCCTTACTGTTTTTCCCTGACACATTCATAATCATTTGGCTACTTCTGCCGGTGCGCTGTGGCAAGCTTTATGCTTGTGCTTGAGCGCTGCTTAGGCTATGTAGGCAATTAAAGGCTCATTATAATGATTTAAATAGTTTATTAATAAACGTGCGATTAGTCGACTAATGCTTAAAATGAACGACTACTAGTCGACCAGAAAAATCCTTAGTCGAGGGCAGCCCTAGTAATCACAAACCTCTGGAAAAGTTATTGAAAGTCATGGTTGAAATGCAGCAGTCATGTCAAATAATCTAGTCATCTTTCTTCTCATCCAAAAACCCACAAACAGGGCGGACTCTGTGGAGGACTCCAAAACAACTCTGTTTTCTGACAACAAAAGGGAAGCTGTCCTATCCTCAGAGGCAAGCACTATCTGCAGTGATAAATATCCTGTCACTGAAATGAAAAGTATTGGTAAGGTGGTGCTCTGCTCATATTCTGCCACAGTCGCCATCTTGCAAGCCCTAAGGGACTAGCTATGCTAATGAAACATACTGTTAGAAGTGTCATATTATGCAGAAAGTTAATTAGTTCTTCTCCCAGACAATGAGTTCATGGGAAGAGTGCCAGTGTGAATGAAAGGTTACTGTAAAGAAGTCCAGACAGGACTGTCAATCTAAATCAAGATGGATGAACTGCAGCCCAAATGTTTAGCAGTATTGTATCCTTTTTGGGATATGAATAGAATAATCTGCCGCACAACTGGGGCCAAATTAATAGTTCAATGGTTTGAAAAGTACAACTAGAAATGGCGTAGAAACTATTTTCACTCAGAAATAGTTACATTTCAAATGTTAAAAGTAACATGCTGAAT